AACACACACACACACGCGCGCGCAAAAATTTATTTTTTCTGATATGGATAGCACGCACATGCATTTATTCTCGTATGCAAGCGTACATACAAACTTATACATCCAGATCCAAGGGGGCATATGTTTATACGTATATATGCAGATATATACACATATATATTATACATTATAGCATACATTATACTTACTTACATACATAAATATGTATATGGCATACATGACGTACGGCTTATACACTTGTACAATTTGTTGTACAGCGCAGTGCTGTCAAAGCTTCCTACTCATCCAGCAATAAATGCAAATGCTTAGCTTGGGTGTATGTACACGTGTGTGTGTGTGTGTGTGTGTGTGTGTGTGTGTGTGTGTGTGTTTAAATGCGTTTGTATGTGTAATGTTCGTTTCATACACCTTGTGACTTTGTATGTTGTTTGTTTAATATGTATGTTAGTTTGTAAGTCAATGTGTGAATAGAACGAGTAAGATTTTGTGCATGTGGCCGCTGAAATTGTGTGATTATTATTGTTGTTGTTGTTGCTGATTTTGTTGCTGATAGTAATGGGGATTTTGTCGTTTTTCCAAGTAATATGTATTGAGGTGGTATCGGATTGAAGTGTAATGTGTAAATGACATTTGGGATTAGGATGAATTCGTTGGATAACTTTGTCAGTTATCATACTTATTTAACACAGGTTATAAAAATGTAAGGACTATATCCATAAGTTGATATTGATAGTGCGTGTATATATATTTATATATATACGTCCTACCTCGGGAAACCGGGTCTCTGGACGCAAAACGAAGATTGATTGATTGATATTTATATATATATATATATATGTGTGTGTGTGTGTGTGTGTGTTAGTATGCGCGCGTGTATGTTTTTGTGTATTTATATGTGACATATACATGTGTGTGTATGTGTCCATTCAATTTTGATGGTGATGTATGGATGGAGTAATAAATTGATAGCCATTATGCATTGTTAGCCTCAGCTCAATCAACACTGACATATCAAGCAGCCATATGTCTCTAGGTGTGTGCGACTGTGTATGTATGTGCGAATGTGTGTGGGTGTGTGCGTGCGTGTCTTGATGTGCATAAATATATTATATCCATCTTATCTATAACTGTTATTGATATGTATGTATATGCATGTGTGTATGTTTGCCTGTGTGCTTCTTTATCTCTTGTATATTCATTATATATATATATATATATATATATATATATATATATATATATATATATATATTAGTATCTCTTGTATATAACGGGTATAATGCATACGCTTACATATGCTTGGGTGTTATGTTGTATATATATATATATATATATTTGTATGTATATATACATATATATACAGATATAATCTCCTTCTCCATCATTGCTTATTCATGCATGCTTCTTTTACTACTTAGTGTGTATGTAAGTATGTATGTACGTGTATGTTGATGTGAATGTATGCATGCATGTATGTATGTATGTATGTATGTATGCATGTATGTATGTATGCATATATGTATGTATGCATATATGTATTTATGTATGCATGTTCTCATGTATGTGTGTATATATAGCATGTATGTATGCATGCATGTGCATCTGTTGTTCTAGTTCTTTTCCAGTTTATGAATTTAAGACAGATGGATAGATGGATAAATATCATAGATCGTTATAGCATATAGATTGCTATGGCAGTTATAATTTTAAAGCAAATTTAATAACCACAGAAAAAGATTAGCTGTATTAAGTGTTAACTTATATTTTTAAAGTTTAAACGCGTAAATATTCTGGATACCTTTCCATATTTCATGTAAATTGTTGAAGAAGTTTTTCCTATTTTGTTTTGCTTTGTTTTGTTTTCCTCTGGGGTTTGTTTTGTTTCTTTTATGGCTGATCTGGAGAATAATAAATACACCGATGTGTTGAAGATTTGGTTTTTATGAATGAACGAATTGATGAATGAATGATTGATTGATTGATTGAATGGGTGAATGTATGAATGAATGAATGAATGAATGAAGGATCGTATGAATGAGTGAATGAATGAATGATTGATTGATTGATTGAATGGGTTAATGAGTGAATGAATGATTGATTGAATGGCTGAATAAATGATTGAATAGATGAAAGAGTAAATAATTAAATAAAAGAATGAGTGAATGCATGAATGAATGAATAAATAAATGAATGAGTGAATGAATGCATCAATGAATGAATGAAAAAATGAGTGAATAATTAAATGAAAGAATGCAATATCTAAAAAAGGCGAATGGCAAAATGGATGAATGAAATACTGAACGAGAGAAGGATGGATGATTTTTTTTATGTCTGTAATTTAATATAGCGATGAATGGTAGTTGGTGTTTGTTTGTTTATGCTGGGGGCAAAAAAGAATTTATTAATACTGCTGATATTATGTAATAACAATAACATAATATCAGTAATAATAATAATAGTACTATTGCTACTATTTTTTACTACTACTACTCTTACTTCTACTATTAATTCTACTACTACTTCTGCTGTTACTTCTATTACTACTACTACTACTACTACTACTACTGCTGCTGCTGCTACTACTACTACTACTACTACTACTACTACTACTACTACTACTACTACTACTACTACTACTACTACTACTAACACAATAAGTATAAATATAATGGTAAAGGAATGCTAATGATAACAATAATAATGATATTAATTTTGATTTTAATAAAATAATAATAATAAATTAATAATCATAGAAATGAATCATAATAATAAAATATAAATATATATTGAATGACGTTATTTATAAAAACATTGGAAACTATTTTTGTTTTAATAATTTATCTTTTAATAATAAAATTTATAATTATATGCGCAGTAATCAGTATTACAATACTCGGTGCTGACTTTATGTTGTAACGAGAGAGAGAAAGAACATACATACCAAACATACAAACATAGATACGGACTTAAAAGTAGATAAAATACTAACATACTTTAATGTATATATGTATATATATATCTATATCTATAGTAGAAAATGAAAATGTTTGTTTGAATTGCTTTTTACGCTATGGCTTCTTTTACAATGAAGGACCATCAAATGTTAGTGGTGATGAAGAACATGATGATGATTGATGATGATGATGATGATGATAATGATGATGATAATGGTGGTATTGTTGATGATGTTATTGTTGATGATGATGATATTGAGGAATGATCCATTTCTCATCATGTGTTGATAAGCTGTCGAAGATGTTGAAGACAGCTGAAGTAATGATTATGATTCTGGTACAGATGGTGGCTATGTGGATGGTGATGCTGATGTTGATCGTGAGCCAGATGGTGATGTTGGTGGGTATTTGGTTGGCGGTTTGGTTATGTGGTGATGTTGTAGACGGTGATGTTTTATAATTTAAAGTTGAAATTTTTTCAAACTGGTTCACCACCATACCAGGAAAAAAATAGAAGAAATTAGCAGAATGGGTGCTTTGAGTCAGGAAGAGATCATTTCCAACACAAGAACTGTTATTCAAGGTTTGTTTGTTCACTATGTTTGCTTGTTCATCATATTTGTTTGTTCATCCTGTTTTAGCTTGTTTGCTTTCTTGCTTGCTTGTTTGGTTTGCTTTTTATTGTTTATGTATAGTATAAGTAAACATGTATGCATGTGTATCTGTATTATGTTTATGTGTATTATTCTAACAACAACAACAACAACAATGCAACTAACTACCAGGTCTTGACTCGTTGCGATTGGAACATCACCAACTACTAAACAACCTTCTTTCCATGGTGAAGACATCAACGACATCGTCTCCGGCAACAACAACAACAACAGCAACACACATACAAGAGAATGGGATTGCTGACAAAAACTTCCACAACATCAACAACAACATTGTTGAAGAGAAGATCAACATGTTGAAGAAGGCCATTGAGGCTATTGATCTGGCTATTGGGGAGGCTCAGGTAATCCTTAAGATGATGATGATGATGATGATGATAATGATGATGATGATAATGATGATGGTGATGGAGGTGGTGGTGTTGGTTATGATGATGGTGAGAGCTGCCAAATCAAAATAAATAAAAAAAAAGAAACTCATTTATCTGTCAAGAGTACAAAACTGAATGACATGAAACAAGATCAAAATAATATATTATTATAAAATTATAATAAATTGTAAAATAAATTAATTGCTGGGAAAAGTTAATTGCACAAAAAATTATTCATGGCCCTCTCTCTATTGAAACGCAGTCAGAGCAGTAGAAAGAACTGTTATCATTATCATCGTTATTAGGAAAAGTTATCATCATTATATTTTTATCCCCATGGGCATTATTGTTAGAAGAAATTTGTTTGTATGAGGCCAGAACTTTCTCATTGAAAATTCATCTAGAGATGATGATATTTCCAAGTCAGATCTCGGGATCATTGAGTCTTTCATCATTCGTCAGAATTCATAATGATTGTAAAAGATTTTACAATATTCCGAAAGCACATAGACACGATGAAATTATTGTATGTGAAATGTACAAATTTAATTTAACCACCACACACGCACTCATTAACATTTCCTTACCAGATGATGGTATCATTTGCTGGTCACATGGAGACAATTGAGAGCGAGAAGCAGAAGTTAAGAGCGCAGGTACGTCGACTTTGTCAGGAAAACTCCTGGCTCAGAGACGAACTCTCCATGACTCAACAGAAACTTCAACACGTTAGTTGCTGCAGTTCGCTTCCTATTCTTCCTACACGGATGTATTCTTTATTATTATTCTTTATTACGATGATGTACTATTCTTCGTTTGTCTCTGTGCTTATCTTTTGGTCGCTTCATCTCATGCCTGCTATTTATCTCCATTCTTCTGCCTTTATACTTCGTTCATTAATTTGTTTTGCTCATGGATTTGTTCATTAATTTGTTCTAAGAAGCAAAAGTAATGTTCGTATTGTATAAATTGTACAATTCACAGATCACAACAGGTAGCATAAAATAAAACACGCGCGTCGTTGTAGAAAACCTGAAAATTTACGAGAATTAAAGACGTACATCTATCTATACACAAGCGAAATTGTACGCCAACAAACACACCACACCACACAGCACAATTATTTTGATTGAACAGAGCGAACAGAAGTGTGCACAACTGGAGGAACAGAAGACACACTTGGAGTTCATGGCCGCTATGAAGAGATACGATTCCAACGCGGTTCGTGTCTTTATGCTTTTATGAAGAAAGAGAGAGAAAGAGAAAGAGAGAGAGAGACAAAAGGTGTAAGAGAGATACGAGGAATGAGGAATTTTGTAAAATTTGTTTTGCTTGGGTTTATGATTTCTTTGCAAAGTAGTTATCTTCTAAATATTTTTTATCCGCACGTACGCCATACATTTTTTTACTTAAAAACTTAAAAATTTACTTTTGCATTTATTGATGTTACAAAACTTGAAAGACTTGATAGGTTAATAAATTCCTTGCAGAATGAAAGTGAAACTCAGAATGATGCTTCCTCCCTGCACGTCGATCTGGGTTTCCCCGAGGAGGATGAAGAGAATCAAGCTGAAGGTGGGTAGTTGTTTTTTTTATGTTTGAATTATTTATCTTCGGTTCGTAACGACCTTGGAAAGGTCAAGCAAGGGTCATTGATCGCATGGTTGATGAATATAACGCTCTTGTTTTTGTATGATTGTATGTTGCTGTTGTTGTTGCTGTTGTTGTTGTTGTTGTTGTTGTTGATAGCACACATCTGTATGGTTGTTGTTGTTAGTGTTCATTGTGTAAATGAGGTTTCAATAAAAGTTAACTTAAATGAAAAAGTTTAAGTTTGTGTGTAAAATACTTGTTTGATTGGTTTGTTGGGTGATGATTTAGGCAATAGTTGAACCAATCAATGAATAAGTGAATGAATAATAATTCAAGTTATGAATAAATGAATGAATGAATGAACGAACGAATGAATGAATGAACGAATGGACGAATGAATGAATGAACGAATGAATGAACGAATGAATGTTGGATTTATTCCTTCATCGTCCTCAACATTTCTGTTATTTCTCCCATCAACATCAAACTTGTTCAGCTGTTTTCCCCAATACTTCGACATCTCAGTCGTCGATCGTCGGTGGTGGCTACGAGGTTCCAGCCCGCCTGCGCACTCTCCACAACCTCGTCATACAGTACGCCTCACAAGGTATTTATTTTTCGGCTATGCCTGTATCTTCTGTTGTTTGAATTTGGATTAGTCGGTGAAGTTTCGCATAGGTTTTGTTTATTATTTTCAGTTTTCAGGTCCTAATTTTAAATAATTTATGAATTACACGTCCAATCATAACACGACGATCGAAACCTCCATATCGAAATATTTAACCCAAAAACATCAAGTAGCACCATGAACATAGCAGCAACGACTAACTCGTTGCGAATGATTCCAAATAATTTAACACCACCACCAACAACAACAGGAGCATGCAATCACACAAAAAACAAAAGTATTATAATCATCCACCATGAAAACAATGACCCTTGCTTGACCTTTCCAAGGTCGTTACGAAGTGGCAGTGCCCTTGTGCAGACAGGCCCTAGATGACCTTGAGAAGACAAGTGGGCCCGATCATCCCGATGTGGCCACAATGCTGAATATTTTGGCTCTTGTTTACAGGTACGTGTAGCAATTGTACTATGTTATATGTTACAATATATCACTCTAATGATATATAGGATTTAAAATACAAGTTACTGCTGCTGTCCATTAGAATTTATCGGAGATAAAAATTTTTTTTAGTAGAAAAAATTCAAATTCAAATATGTTTTAAAAATGGTAAAATATATTCTCTTAACTGTTCCTTTTCCTTCTTCAACTTCATCACCTACTATCTGGTCATTATCCTTATTGTCTGAACCTTCCTTCTTTATTCTTCATCTCAATCATCATTGTTCGAATCATCATTATCTACATTATCCCAATCAATAGTATCTTCAATTGTTGTCATCTAATGATACATCAACATCTTAATCATCATTATTTTCTTCATCTTTATCATCTTCTTCCTCTTCTTCATCTTCCTCATTATCATCTCCTTCATCTTCATCCTCCTCCTCCTCCTTATCATCATCATCTCCATCTTCATCCTCTTCCTCCTCCTCCTCTTCATCATCATCCTCATCATCTCCATCATCCTGATACTCAGAGACCAGGGCAAGTACAAGGATGCAGCGAACATGTTGAATGATGCCCTCCAGATCAGAGAAAAGAGTCTGGGATCTGATCATCCTGCTGTTGGTTTTTTCCCTTTTTGTGTTGTGCCGTGTTTCGTTGTGCTGTGTGTTTTGTAGTGTGGTTATGCTTCGTTGTGTTGTGTTTTGTAGTAAATATTTTTTGCTGAATGTTTTTAAAGTGCTTTTTGCTTTTTATTTTTGGCAACGGTTGTAGATCTGGTAAAAGTGCTGGCAATAATAATAAATGCTGTTAACCATGATCATAATGTTGCCAACACGAATTTTAATGTTGTCAACCCGGATTGTAATGTTGCTAACTCAGATTGTAATGTTGTCAACCGGATCGTAATGTTGTCAACCGGGATTGTAATGTTGTTGTCAACCGGAATTGTAATGTTGTTGTCAACTCGGATTGTAATGTTGTCAACCCGGATTGTAATGTTGTCAACACGGATTGTAATGTTGTCAACACGGATTGTAATGTTGCTCAACAGGTGGCAGCCACACTGAACAACTTGGCGGTGTTGTACGGGAAGAGAGGCAAGTACAAGGAGGCTGAGCCACTTTGCAAGCGGGCGCTCGTCATCAGAGAGAAAGTAAGATGAGATGGATGGATGGTTGGATGGATGAATGGAGAATGGATGGATGGTTGGATGGATGAATGGAGGATGGATGGATGAATGGAGGATGGATGGATGGTTGGATGGATGAATGGAGGATGGATGGATGGTTGGATGGATGAATGGAGGATGGATGGATGGATGAATGGAGGATGGATGGATGGTTGGATGGATGAATGGAGGATGGATGGATGGTTGGATGGATGAATGGAGGATGGATGAATGGAGGATGGATGGATGGATGGAGGATGGATGGATGGTTGGATGGATGAATGGAGGATGGATGGATGGTTGGATGGATGAATGGAGGATGGATGGATGGTTGGATGGATGAATGGAGGATGGATGGATGAATGGATGGATGGATGTATGAGTAGATGGATGGATGTCTCTTTCTTATTTGTGCATTCGTTTTGAGGTTTATCAGTTTCGTTAGTTTTTTTTCTTCACGGTTTTGGTATTGCAAATTTATCTATTTTTTAGTCTTCTGATATATTGTTTGTTTCAGTTCATTCTTTTGTCAATTTCTTCAGCTAACCAATCAACCAGCCAACTAATCAACCTACCATCCAACCAACCAACCATCCAACCAATCAAACAATCCTTCAGCCAACCAACCATCCAACCAATCAAACAATCCTTCAGCCAACCAATCATCCAACCAATCAACCAACCAACCGTTGAAACAAACACAAAGGTCCTAGGCAAGGACCATCCAGATGTTGCCAAACAACTGAACAACCTTGCCCTGCTCTGCCAGAACCAGGGTAAGTACGAGGAGGTGGAGCAGTATTATCAGAGGGCCCTGGATATCTATCAGTCGAAAGTGAACGGCCCTGATGACAACAACGTCGATAAGACTAAAAATAACCTGGTTCGATGTTTTCATACTTCTTTCAGGGTTGATTGTCTAGTGCGTGCGTGCGTGTGTGTGTTGTGTGTGTGTGTACGTACGTGTGTTGTGTAAACTTTGTTTTGTGTTTTTTTAATCCATTTTCCAATTTGCCAATTATTCAAGAGGTGAATTTATCGTTTCGCTGTGAGTCGTTGAAAGAGAATGTACAATAATAATAATATCAATAATAATAATAAAATAAATTGAATGATAATACAAATAATAATAATAAAATAAAATGAATAATATTTTTTCACAGGCATCTGCATATTTGAAGCAAGGAAAGTTCAAGCAAGCGGAAATGCTCTACAAGGAAATATTGACGAAGGCGCATGAGAAGGAGTTCGGATTGAGTGGAGGTGAGCGTTTGATTGATTGGTTGATTGATTGGTTGGTTGGTTGATTGATCGATTGGTTGGTTGGTTGATTGGTTGATTGATTTATTGATTGGTTGGCTGGCTGGCTGATTGATTGATTGATTGATTGATTGATTGATTGATTGATTGATTGATTGATTGATTGATTGATTGATTGATTGATTGATTGATTGATTGATTGATTGATTGATTGATTGATTGATTGATTGATTGATTGATTGATTGATTGATTGATTGATTGATTGATTGATTGATTGATTGATTGATTGATTGATTGATTGGCTAGTTGATTGGCTAGTTGATTGGTTGGCTGGTTGATTGGTTGGCTGGTTGATTGGTTGGCTGGTTGATTGATTAAATGGCTGACTGGCCGACCAACTGATCAAATTGTTTATTTTAAGATTATTCAGTTCTTTCAAATTTGTAGTTTTATTTCTTAATATATCTGTTGATAAGTAGATGTCACAAAGCCTATTTGGCAGTATGCAGAAGAACAGGATGACAGCAAGGTTTGTTCATTCAGTCACTCCTTCCTATCATTTTCATTCTTCCATCATTATCAGAATCTACATCATCACCATGATCATCATCACTCTCTCACTCTTTTATTCTGGATGCTTTGATTGGATGATGGATTCTGGATGATGGATTGTTTCTGAATGCTTCCAGTTATACTGGAGCTCAGTGGAATGCTTCACGTACGTGAGAGTTGTTTCTAAGTGCATCTTCAGGCTTTAATCTGAATGGCGCATTGTTGTAATGTCGCTATATTTTCGTCCTCATCGCCATCAAAGTCATCATCATTTCTCAACCAACCGCAACCCCTGGCATAGCATAAATTATACCGAGTTTCAATGGCAATAGTTGTATTATTGAATAAGTTATTTTCTTATTATTAAATGCATTGTCCTGGTTATGACATTAAACTGACCCTCACTGCCTTGTGAGTGATGTTCGATCATCAAAGGCTAGGCCCACCGCTTATAACTGTGGTTGCGTAAGGAAGGGCGTCCTGCCTAAAAATTAGCCAAATAAATTACTTATGATGGAATGGCGTCGAGGGGTATTTCGGTTTCATCATAGGTAGCCAAACGGCAACCCCCGATCTCGGGGAAAATGTCGTCTAAACGTGTGTTGTTGTAAATGCATGCCCGAAACCATTCATTCCACACGACACACACACACACACACACACACGACATGACACACCACATACACACACTCACACGCTACACCACGCACACACACACCGCACGACATACTGCAGGGTCGACCGAGGGACATGAACACCATGAAAGAATACGACAACTGGCAGAGATCTCTCGGTCCCAATGGGTCTGTGGTGATGATGATGATGGTGACAAGGGTGATGATGATGGTGATGGTGATGGTGATAGTGACAAGGGTGATGATGATGATGATGATGGTGATAGTGACAAGGGTGGTGATGATGATGATAGGCAGGGTACGGCGTCATCAGTATCATCAATAATGATACTGATGACGACGACGATGATATGTTGGTGGGATAATGGGATAATGATGATGATGATGATAGCAACATAACAACAAAGATACAACAACAACACCCTACAGTATGACGGTGACGACGACGCTGAAGAACCTCGGCGCACTCTACAGGAGGCAGGGCAAGCACGGAGCTGCCGAAACCATCGAAGAGTTCCTCAACAAATCCAGACAACAACAACAACAACAAAATGTTAGCTTTTACTTCTGTTTTTTTTTCCTGTTATCATCATTGTTACCTATCTGCTCATGGAGTGATTTTTTTTCTGTTTTTATATGATGAAGTTGTGGTAGATAACAAGTTGCCTACATTTCGTTTCTTACTCACTCAGTTACACTACAATCAAACAATTTTTGGTTACAGAAGGGGCTATACCATCTACTGCAGTACATTACATACGTACTGTCATGTCAGCTTCCATGCTACTCCTTCGCAATTCACCATCTCCGTATTCATAATCCATCATCTTCATGATTCATCATCTTCTTAATTCACCGTCGTCATAGTTCATCATCGTCATAATTCAACATGTTCATAATTCGTCATCTTCATAATCATCATCGCCATCATCATCATGATCATCATCATCATGATCACATCCACCAACACCACCACCACCATCAGGGTTACGACAGCGGCAGAGATGTAAGATCCAAGCAGTCGACCACGGGCCACATGAGGGAGAGCAGTCGCAGCGGTGGAGGCGTGTCCGGTGGCGCAGGTGCTGGAAGGTCAAGGCCAGTCTCTATGGACGGGTCCTTCTATGATAAGATGAATAATTCTTCTGATAGGTCAGTTCCGTTATGCAAGGAAAGATCTGTTCAGACAAATTAAACATTTTATGTATGTATGCGTTTATGTGGATGCATTTGCGTGTGTGTGTGTGTGTGTGTGTGTGTTTGTTTGTTTTTGTGTATGTGTGTAGAATCATCGTTAAGTTTGTTCATAGTGATGTTTTATTTATTATTGTTTACTGGATGTGTATTTTGTCGTTATTATTTCAATTATTATCATCAATTCAATTCATAATCTCCAGAACGTTTCCTTCTTATATCTAAATTACAATTATGACGTCATAATTGTTATTGTTCCTTTCATCATCATCATCATCTGTCATTCATTTTCATCACAATTTAGCCACCCACCATAATTTCAACAATACATTTCACCATCACAACATCTAGGCCTGAGCAGCAACAATAGCTTGTACAGTGCAGTGTAACAAACCAAAAAACGAACCGACAACAATCAAATGTGGTGCCGAGATGTCATACGTTTCTATGTTTTGTTGCGTGTGTGCGTGCGTGCGTGTGTGTGCGTGTGAGCCATTATCTATGTATCTATGTATGTTTGCATGCATAATTAAATGAACAAGTATTTGCACGTGTATATTCCACAAACGCTTAATTTATTCATACCTGCTTTATTCGTTACTTAATTGGTCGCGCGTGACGTCACCAGTGCGTTTATGAATGCGTACGATGGAGGGCTATCGTGTTATTACGTCACGGTGAGATCACATGACTTGTTGTAGAGTCACGTGCTGTTTGGGATGACGTCACCTGTTTGGGATGACGTCATCTGTTTGCGATGACGTCACCTGTTTGGGATGACGTCACCTGTTTGCGATGACGTCACCTGTTCGGGATGGCGTCACGTGTTCGCGATGACGTCACGTGTTTATGTCATGTCACGTGTCAGTTATAATGGGGGTCGTTTGGGATGATTGGATTGGGTGTTATCGTGCAAATGCATGGCTCTTTTTTCTCTACCTATTTCAACTAATTAAGTTAGAAAGAAAGAAGTAAGAGTAGATAAACAATGAAATGAACAAATGCTCGAGGGAACGTGAGCACGGTCACGTCTTCTACAGTGTAGACTCGCTTGTTTCTTTTTTGTCTATATAGTCGAAAGATGCATCTTCACTCATGAGTGGATGAGTTGAAATCAATTTTTATTTATATGTCTTTTCAAGCTTCTCATTTTAGATTTTAATCTTTTTGTTTGTTTGTTGAACTTTTAATTTATTCATTCTGGTCACTCTTTCGTTCATTCTTTTATTCAATCCCGTCAATCGATCATTCATTTGTCCATCCATTCATTCATTTATTTATTGAATTGTATATATTTTTGGATACCATTAATAGATGAATAAATAAATTTGAGTAACAAAGAACGAGTAAATAAATTGATGAACTTGTGATTGGTTGATTTTTGCCTAATTCGTCGCATGTTTCATTTCGTACTTTGTGAATTTTGGAAAATTACTTCAGAATCAACTAGTCAGACAAGCAGTGTTTTCGGTAGATCATTCATGCTGTTATTCATTCATTCATTCATCCATTTACTCGTTCACTCATTCATTCATTCATTCGTCTGTCTGTTATTGATAACATAGCTGTGTTGTATGTTTCAGTCTAATACGTAGTAGTTCATCAATAATCTTTCTGAATGGGATACCTATGACAACTTTTAATTTATGAACTATCTATAGAGAGAGAGAGAGAGAGAGAGAGAGAGAGAGAGAGAGAGAGATGGAGAGAGAAATATAGAGAGAGAAGGAGAGAGAGGGGCAAACATTTTTTACATTACATTTAAATGAACATAAATAAAGTGATTAAAATTGCATGTAGTAGCAGGAGTAGAATTAACGAAAGTTTAACTGAATGCGTTTCTCGTGCGTGGCTCACCACCACCCTTTGAAATGCACTCCTCAAACACCAATCTACTTTTCATTTATTTGTTTATTTATTTATTTATTAATTTTTATTTTTAATCCACTCGTCGGTTAATTAAATAAATTATTTATTTGTTTATATTTCTTCTACAGAGTTTTTTAATTTGCATTTATATATTGTTTTTCAGTATATATATATCTATTTATATATATACATATATACATGCTCTATCTATATATATATATATATATATATATGTGTGTGTGTGTGTGTGTGCGTGTGTGTGTGTGTGTGTGTATATATATTACTCCACTCGAATATAATTGATATAATTGAATAGAATTTTTATAATATAAGAGAGCTGGTTTTTTTTAATGTGCTGTTTAATGTTTTTGTTTTTAATTATCACTGAATAATAATTATTATTTTATGAACGATTATTATTATTATTTAATCATTGTCATTAAACTATGAATGGAAATGAATTAAGGAACAAACAAACGAATGAATGTATGAACGAACGAACGAACGATTGAATGAATGAATGAATGATTACGAAAACAATGATGTAGCAATGATAGAGAGAATTGAGCTTAAGGACATAACTAAATGATAATAATGATGATAATGCTAACGATGGCGACTTCTCTGTGATGGGGATGACATCGTTGGTGAATCAGAAACACACTTCACTGTGGCTCCCATCTTTACTACCGCAACCACTTCTCTTGTCTACTGACTTTTGACTTTTATGGTAGACATAGGCCGTAGTTGTGGTTGATGCAGGGGATACAAGGTTGTCGTTGTTTGTGGTTGCTGACGCAGGATGTACTGGCTGCAATGTTGTAGTTGTGGTCGTCGAAACGGTGATATGCAGTTTGTAAAGGGACTTTAAAAAGCGCTTTAGAAAACTTAAAGATGACTACCGATATAAAGGCAACGTAAATTTTGTCAATTTCCCATGAAAAACTTTTTCAAAAAACTTTTCAAACAAATTTTTTCAAAAAATTGACTGCAACTTCCAGGCTCACATGTTTCAAACGTGGAAAGCAATTGTCACCAAGAGTATCTATCATTCATTCGTTCGTTCATTCGTTCGTTCACTCTTTTTACCATTTTTTTGTTTTAAGCAAATTGAAAATATATAAATTGTATATATTGCGTAGGCAAATTTGAACTGTACAAAATGTTTCTTTAGTGAGCTGACTAGTGATGGAATAATGAGTGATTGGGTCATTTCAGACCTTACTACCTTTGCGTTTCTTTACATCTTCACCGACGCTTTCTTCATCATCACCATCTTCATTACCATCGTTGTCACCCGTCACCATTATCACCATAATCATCGTCTTTATCATCGTCGTCATCACCATCATTGTCATCATTCTTATCATCTTTATCATAATTTTCATCGTCACGTCACTGTAAATATTGCTTTTAGCTTCCGTGATTGTTTTTATATCATCATCTAATATGATATGTATTTATTTTATTATTACCAACTTTATTATTATTATTAAGTGTTATCCATTAAATACGTTACTATCATCTACTATCACGCACCTCTTGTTTTTTATACATTTATTATGGGTCATTCACTTTCAGAACACACACACACATTGGGCGGCAAGATGGCTCCATGGTTGAAGACGCCTGGTCCTGCTGTTACACTGACTTGGTTTGAAAACAAAGAAATCCCCGCTTATCACATGCAATGTGTGTGATGCGTGGTTCTCACGCGTATTCATAGACGCTGTGTTTGTTCCTCATTGATGCCTATGGATCGAGCGCAAAAGTGAGAATGACCTTTAATCTTTAATTATACAGTGTGTGTAATGTTTTTTTTTTGGGCTACTATTCATTTTAGCATTTGCTTTTCATTATGACCTTCAAAACAATGTTTGATTGAAGATCCGTGGCTTATGGTGTTATTAAGATTTTTATGAAAAAACTTACACACACTCTCACACACACTCCTACACACACTTAAACACACATGCACATGTATATATATATATATATATATATATATATATATATATATATATATATATATATATATGTATATATATATATAATGTTAATTGTAAATCTTTAATCATTCATTAATTAAATCGGTTAATTTTTCAATCAGTCAATTTTTTAGACAATAAAGGACTCATTTTCTTACTCACATTTCATTAACATATTTATTGTATTCGAAATATTTGGAAAGTTGTGTGACACTGTCGACTGATCTGAACTGATTCATCACTCAAAAGATTAGTCACTTCAATTAGTCACTGAATTAATCTGTAAAAACAAGTTGTACATTAAATGCAACTTTTAAAATTTGAGAGAGGACCTGTTTTTGCCCTCTTCAAATCTTCAAATACAACCAGCCATGTTGCATTTCAGAATAACACACTCGTATAAGTTTTGTCGAGGTCTGTCAACGTAAATACAATACAGTCTAATAAAAAAAATGCTATTATAAAGTGTTAGTTATGTTAATTTCGTAAATTATTTAATAACACACACACACATATATTTATATATATATTTATATATATATATAGTATTGTTTGAATTTGACCGAATTGTTGGCATTAATCAACTTAAAGTTAATGCCAACAATTTGGTAGAATACATACAGTACGGTATAAAATATGGTCTCCTTCCAACATATATTTATATATACACATATTCAGACTTTAAAGGGGTGGTTTCAGACTTTAGAGGGGTGGTCGGGAGAGTCATTTGGCACGGGAATATATTGAGTCTTCTTAAACCCACAAGTACGTGATTATATAAATGGTGAGAATTTTCGACCTGCTCCCGCAAGTACAGTTGGCCAGTACCTGTACACAAAGTACGCCATCTCATATGAATTTATTAATATATATATATATATATATATATATATATATATATATATATATATAAAATACGTTATCCCATATATGATCATATATGTCTATATGTAAATGCTATGTATGGTGTACTTTATTTATAAAACTTTAATATGCTTCCGTACAGATTTTGTTTGATAGTCTCTCATTCATTTGTCGACCTGCGCTGATGAATAGCGTAATTAAATGTTTCAAAATTTCAACCTTAAGATGCTATAATGATTTGTTTCTATGGTTCAAATTTGTTAATTTTTCTTTGATTTTGACATATCGTTTGTTTTAAAAATTGTGACAATGTATGAATCTTCTTTCGTTGCATGAATTTTGTTTTCTGGTGTATGTAAATTGAAATTATTGGCGCATTTTTCTCATCATTTATTTGCACGTTTCAAGAATAAAATTATTTAAAAACATTTTAGATTTTTATTTTTGTTATTTAAATTTTTTAATTAGAAAAATAAACTGCAAAAAGCAGGTGCTTTGTAAAGGTGAGAATATTCAATCCGCGATTTGAACGTTTGAGTGTTTTGAACGACGTTGTTGTCCAAACATACTTGCTAGGATTCTGTGATAATTCACGGACAAGTTTTAATAACAATGATGTTAGTATACTGCTAACACCAGCGTTATCATTCATTATCCTTATTAACATATATATATATATATATATATATATATATATATATATATATATATATATATATATATATATATATTTGGGTTCAGACTGTCGTATGTTCAGTTATTAAGAAATATCACCGCATTTCCCGCGTGGTTGGAAAATGCAACAATGCGGAAAATGCGGTGATATTTCTTAATAACTATATATATATATATTTATCCGCGTGTGTGTGTGTGTGTGTGTATGTGAGTGTGTGTGTTTGGGTGGTGTTTGGGAGTTTTAATGTGTTAAAAACTACTTTTAATAATTAAAATATTATGGCAAACACAATCCTAAATTAAATAGAGTATTTTTCAAACGTCATAATAACAATATATAAAAAAATAAACAACAAAAACAATAACAAGTGAAAATAAAAAAAGAAGAATAAAATGAAAACTTAAAAAATGTAATAAAATCGTAATTCATTGAAAATATAAAAAATTCTTCACGAATACCGCGTGTACATGATGCGAGTGATATGCCTGCAGCATCTCTCTTGCCGTCACATGATTGGGGACAGTTATTTTACAAAAATATTTAATGAAAATAAGCTTTAACAATTTTAAATAAAAACGGGAGGAACTTGAAACAGTTTTTAATTCATCAAACTTTTATGATTTAGATCATAAGAGGTCAATGTGCTCGTTTCGGCATGAGTTGGGATCTTGTGTCCCAAATTTGTTCAAATGTCCGTACAACGTCGACACTGAAAGTTCTACGCCGTTATTTACTTGTGGCTGCTGTTCACCTGATGGCTGTTGCCGCGTTGCCTCGATCGCTAAAGCGGATCCTGGAATGTGTGGGAGGTGCTGTGATCAGTGTTGTAACAACCAGGTAGAACAACGCTTTAAACGGTTTAATGGATGTCAGAGTCATTTTGAAGATGAACTTTTAAGAAATGTTTTAAAAAGTTTTTCTAGTAAAGATTTCACGAAACCGGATTTCAGTACTTTTTGCGATCGATGTACCGACATGAAGTTGAGTTGTTGCAACGTCTATACGTGTATCGATAAAAAATTAAGTACCCGTTCTGGTTTCAGCGATGATCTGTCAAATTGCTTCAGCAGCCATGAAGACATTTTGCGTTCTCTCCAATATTCCAAACGCTTAAAGGATTGGCAGAATAGTCGCACATGCAATCGCGATGTTCTTTTCTGTCTTCCGGACTGCTTGCACAGCAATCACGACTTACTTAGAAGGTTAAAATTGTCATGTAAGGACTTGTGCGTTAGCGACTGCTGTCTGTCTAACGTAAGAAAATTTTTGCGATTAAATTGTCCTTCAACGAATAAACCTAATTGGAGACGTGAAAAATTTGCCAACTCAAAAACATATTGCAAAAGTTGTAAAGATTTCATGAAACAGGATTTCTGTACTTCTTGCGATTGCTCTCCTGGCACGAAGTTGAGTTGTTGCAAAGTCTGTACGTGTATCGATAAAACTCTATCGAAATGGAAACAAATGAAATGCCCCTGTTATTGTTGCGAAGATGATTGTGATAGAGTTCAGTCAAGAAGACCTGCTGACGATTGTCTAGTTAGTTGTTGCAAAGATTATCGTGTAAGATTGGACGTTGATGATTACTTTGACCAACAACTCCAGCGAAAACACGTCATAAAATGCCAACCCCGTCTCAAGTTCTGCAAATGTATGAAGACTCTCAGACCACAGTGCGTGAGACAATGCATGAGACCGTTGTCTCCGTTTCGCTTATAGTATGTATTTCTTTTTTATCTAAAAAACTATTTACTGTTTATTTTGAAGTTAAAATATTTTTCATTAAATTTTCATTTCTGGCAGCTAGTTTATAATAGCTTTGATTCAAAAAATATAACATTATTCAAAAAAATACGACTTGATAAATTGGAACAGGTAATGAGAATATTCTTCATGAACTTCTAATTTAACTTTTCGATTTTTTTTAATGGTTGCTCGTAAATCATTTTCAAGTTTTTTTACTTCAAAACCAAAATTTTTGTTTATTTCATGCTTTTTTCGTATTCCTATACCGTTTTCAGTGTTTAAATTGATATGTTATGTTTGTGCCCAGAAGCTCAAATTACTTGACAAATCTTGGATCACAATGTTGAAATCTAAAATTACAATAACAACCATTATAATTTATGACTTGCCAAATCAATACTCGTAGAACAAAGACATCTGATAATAAATATTCAACAACGGGCAATTGAAATTCTTCTTACCAAAAAATTTGAAAACAGAGGAATCATCGATAATGAAAACATGTAAAAGTGTTATATTTAACAAAGTCGAAGATTGTAAAATTATGTATTAACTTTAAACAAACAAGGAATCAAACAAAGTAGAGTAGTTTCCTATACCGAAAAAAGCGAAGATGGTATAGGAATACCGAAAAAAGCTTTTCTATTCTATCATGCATGAAACAAACAAAAATTTTGGTTTTCAACTAAAAAAACTTGAAAATGATTTACGATCAACCGTTAGAAATATCGAAACTAACGCCGAACATGCTGTGATTTTCATCATTAATTGCATATATATATAGAGATATATAGCTTGGACGCTCGGAGTTTATCGGCTGACAGCGCTGTCTGCCGACAAACTTTTCACCACGGTTATCATTAAAAAGATCGTTAATTTATTCAGTCCATCTTTCAAGTTCTTTTTCTTTCTCTAAGATTACTTCACCGTTTTTAGCCTTTGTGGCACAAAAGTTTAATTATAAGCATTGAATAACATGCAAAGAGCCCTGCGTTTGACGGAGTTGAATCAAACAGTTAGTAAGCAATAAACTGGAAGGCTTTATTCATGGTATACATATTGAAAGGAGGATGAACATGAACAATGTGTGTGGAATGAACATGTACGTTATGCGTACGAACATTGTTGTATATAAAATGTAGTCAGTGTATTATAACAAAAACATGAAACTATAGACAAACGATAATAAGTTTAAACAAGGCAAAACGAGAACAAAAATGGTAAAAGTCTTCTTTTTTATCAAATTATTTTTGATTCATTTTTTCATATATGTTTTTTTTAATAAATTCAATACGTTGGCATTATTTAAGTTTTATTTTGGTTCGACATCCTTACTGCAAATGTTTCTATGTGTGTACCCTATGCTTGGATATATGTTTGATTCTATATTTGTTGGTATGCATGTTAACTTATTGATGAACTTTTTACTACAATTCTTTGATCCTAATTTGCATTAACATACTTTGATTTGATATTCATATTTTTTTTCACCACACTTTGTCTTGGAGTTTTACTTAAATTTATCTTTAGAGTAATTGGTTTTATAGGATGTTAATTTGATTTTAAATGTTGCGACCATTTGCTGCCATTTTCCCATTATGCAAAATTTGTTAATGATTTTTGTATACAAGTAATGCTTTTTATAATTATTTGCAGTAATGTGTAATTTAGATGCATGTGTATCAGACATCGAAATAATCTCCAATGCCGAATTAATTGATGTCATTTATTTCTTTTGTGACGTCATAACTATTAAAGTAAACAAAAACAATAGAAAGATTGTGCCACCAAGTAAAAGAAATGAAAAATAACATCTTAATTTGATTAGAAGTGATGAAATGTTCCAACATACAGAAGACTTTGAATAGGTTCGTCCTTGCGTGCAGCCGCTGAAAAATCATTCTGTTTTTTTCAACTAGTTAACCGTTATGAAAACTTTTAAAGCCTTTAAAATTTTTTTTTGCTAACTTGACGTCCATTCGTCATTGCCTTTCATGGATTTATCAAATGTTATGTTATAAAATTATACTGGGTGTTATAAAATTGATAATATATTTCTGTTTTATAGTCGGTATTGTTGAAAAATTCAAATTTATTGAAATCTCTATTCAATATGATGAACTTAATTTTGTAACTTTTTATTAGAGTATTCCCCGACTGCTGTATTTGCTCTCAAAAAACAAATTATGAAACACCCTCCGAGAAATGTTTCCCACGCAGCTGCTGCTCAGTTAAATCTCGATTTCTTTGCAACGGCAATTCACCCACCAGCAGATTCAGTTCAAGCCTGAATAACTGCGACATCAATCTCTCTCCCAAGTCTTTCGATTCTTCTTCATGTTACACCGACTGTGGACCACAAAAATTTTGCATTTATTGTAGTCCTTGTAGTTTTGTTAATTCATGTGATTGTTGTTATCCGTGTGTTCCGTTGGCTCCCTATTGCCACTATCCTCCGTGTAGCTTATGCAGTCCGTGTGGTTTTTGTAATCCATGCAGCTTCCCTGATCCTTGCAATTTTTACTATCCGTGTTGTGTGCCCTGTTACTGCCCGCCGTGTAATCATCCCTGCTACCCAGAATCATGCAGTCCTTGTGGTTCCGGTGACTTTTGTGAGTCGCCTTCCATGGACAACTCCAACAATTTCAAGTGCGATTTCACAGATCAACAAACATACTCATCCAACGACTTTGTAATTTGTGACTTTGACAAAGTTGTTTCAGCCCTTCTCGGTAGCAGTCGGTGTCCTGAGAATCCCAATTGTTGCAGTTCCTGTCTTCAGAATCCCAATTATTGCAACTCCTGTCCTGAGAATCCCAATTATTGCAGCTCCAACAACTCCCGCTGCCTGCCTCCACGAGTTCTGGCACCTGGTGAAGTCTTTTTGAACCCGACGTACGACATTGTACTGAAGAACGGAGTACCATTTCGACAGTACCCCATGAGCTCAGGAACACGATGTTGTGATGAGGAATTTTGTAGCAACACCAGAGAATATTTTTATCGATATCCAATTGATCCGAGATTTTTTTCAAACAGGTATCAGTGTTTTGCCGAAGTTGATGTTGAATACTGTTGATGTAGCGTGTTTTCTAGTTGGAATTTGTTCTTATATAAAAATTTGTTTCAATTTTTAAACAGAGGAAATGAGGATGATAAAGAAAACAGACGGTCTTTTTGTTTTTTATTCACTAAATTTTATTTTACTCTAATAATTAAACTTTTGTAACGAAAATTTTTGGTATCCGCACAGCAATATAAGCAAAAAAGATGATGATGAAGGCGGACAGAAGAAACAGCAGAAAATGTAAAGCAACTTATCTTTAGTCTCAATCTATCAGTTTATAAAATGTAACAAATTTATTAAAATTTTCATTCAGACTCAAGAGAGACGAACTGGACGAGAAGAAAGACAGGTAGGCTGCAGCTCATTTGAATTTCTTTCATTTTCACTCGTTTTTCACTAAAATTAATTCCAGATTAAAATTTTCTTTTACATTAAATTTTAATATTTTTTTGTTGATATTAAATCGCTCATTTTACAGGGACCTGGAGAAGGAAAAGAAAAAATTAGACCAAGAATACGGGTAGGTATTTAATCTAGATTCTTCTTACGACTTAATTATTTAGAACATTATTTTGGTAGATAAGTATTTGTTGATTTTTTTTACAATGTGCACTATCACCTTCATTTATAATCATCTTGAAAGCGAGAACGAAGAGAAGGGAACTAAAAACAAGAAAGGCAAGAAAGGCAAGAAGAAATGAAAACGTTGTAAACAGATGCAACTTGGGACATTCATTTAGATGCTTTTACGTATCATATGTTATCAATTTTATTCTTATTTTTTCACTATAACACAGTTTTGTGACTATTGTCAAAATATTCAAACTTATTAGAACCTATTGTTTTGAGGAAGAATTTTGAGAAACATTTAATTTTTATTTAATTACAAATTACATTACGTAATTACAAAATTTTTATAATTTATGAAAAAACAGTTAAGCCTTTCTTCTAATTTGGCTACTCTTGATAGTGACGTAATTACAAAATAAAAGAAAACAAATACAAAAAAGTCTAATTTAATAAAAAAAATTAACGTTTTTATAGAGAAAATTAAAAAAAAACTTTCGCAACAATTTGCGATAGTATAAAGATTCTTTATTTGAAATCTCGGAAAAATGTCATGCTTCGGTTCGGGAAATTGCTGTTCATGGGGTATGTGTGACTGCCCTTCACCTTGCCAGGCAAGCAGCACTTTGTGGGACTGCCCTTGCGACTGCAAGCCTTGCTCCTCGTGTTTTGACTCATATCAGACATCCCACGATTGCAGGAAAGAGTTTAAGCCGGTTCGATTCGTGGCACCCAGGCAAGCTTACCTCACAACTAATTGTTATGAACAGCTTGGAAATAGACATAAGTAAAGTTTCCATAGTTTTTTTATTAGTTTTTTTTTTATTTCTATACAATTTTGAAATTGCTTGCTGGTTAAATCAGTGTGAGTGGTAAGTATGATGTGCTGTTTATACATCAAATCGTGACAATAACTTTTAAAATTTCATATGACAGCGATGATGGAAGGTGTGGCTCAGGATGCAAAAACAGAGATGAGATGGAAGAGCATAAAATTTTCAGACATGACTTAATAAAGAAAGTAGATGAGTTAGCAACAAGCATGACTAATTTTTAATTTGATAACCTGTTCTCGACTCTGTCGAGTTTGACGATATCCAAACTCTTAGTACTTTTATACGTTATTTTGCGTATTTATGGAGGTGTGTTTCCAATTTTAATTAAATACAATTTTTCTGCTTTTCCGTGAAAAAGTGCAAATTTTATTATCTTCAAACAAATGGAAACATTTTTAAAAATCAATTACTTAATAATAATTTTCTAGAGAGGAATTCAAGAAGAGGATTGGCAGAGGGGGTGGTGGTGGAGAGAGGAAGTCGTCAGAAAAAGAGGACAAAGGCAGCAAGGCCAGTACAAATAATGAAGACGATAAGGGTGGTGGCAAAGGAAAAAAGGGCAAAAATTCTAAAAAAAAAAAAAAATAGAGAAATGATTGACCTGTGAACAATTTAAAATTTATTTATAATGCACCGTAACAGTTTCATTTTGTTTAATGCAAAAATTTCAATGGAAAAATGATCATACGAAACGTTGTTTGTGCCTAATGGTCAGATTATTATTTTTTTGGTTGATACGAATATAAAAATTAAATTCGCATAATTCGCTGTTTAAAAACATCGAACCTCTAAACTTTTTTCACCAACATAAAACTTGTTCTTTTGTCGTGATGTAATCATATACACAAAACAAAAACAACAACAAAAGGCTTTTGAAAATTAAAAAAAAAATTAATAAAATTAGAAGATAAACATGATACACTTAAAATATAATTATTTGAGATTTCAATTTTTCCGTATTTTAGTTAAATGTATCGTGGTGAATAATTTTTTATAATATTTAGGTTGTCCACAGATACAAACATTGTTTAACACAGACACATGCTTACGCAACGAAAGACACATGCTTACACAAACCTTCAACTGCGGAGAAATATAAACGAGTGATCTTATAAAATGTCGGTTGGATGTTGTGGACCCGGATTATATGATTCACGTGAATTCTTATACGAGCCCACTCATACATCCAACAAATTTTACTTCAATCGCGGCAACTCCAGCTGCTGCTTTAGCAGTTTATTTTCAACCTCTCAAGATTGTTTATTATCATGTATTAAAAATTTTAAGTGCGACAGCGAGTTCTCCAGTCCAGTTTACGATTCCAATCTGTATGGTATCAGCAGCTGCAACTGTTGCAATTGTCATTACGAATGCAACTGCGGTTATAACTGCGGTTATAACGGAAGATCGTGTGGTTGTTGCACTAACTTTGGGGGCTACGATGGGCCCTGCTACTTTTCTGCGATTCATAACTCTGAGATTCCTTTTTCGTTTGGTTCTAACGATTTGAATAATCGTTCTATGAGCGGTCCGTATGTCAGTAACTTCAATTACGCCTACTGCCAGTTTCTCCCAATCAATTCCATTCCGCAAATCGACCGATCCAAAAATTTCCACAACGACATATCAGTAACTGAAATGAAGAAACGGGAGTGCAACCGCTACCAACCTCCCAACAACCATTATCAGCCTTTCAAACCAAAATGCTTCTCGTGGGTTTCTGTTGGTGGATGCTTTTAAGAACGGATGATGATTTGTTAACTGCTCGCTTGTATGACGTTTAAAGACATGCGATTGATGTTGTAAAAAATTTATTGTCCTAATTATATTTCTAGTGAAGTAATATTTTGTTGAACTATAGCGATCAAAATGAATCCGAAAGCGAAGAGAAAGAAGAAGAGGAGGAGGATGTCCATGTCATCAAAAAGTTGAAATATTTTTCAAATGTTTGTTTTTAAATAAATCCAAATATGATACCGTTATGGTGGGGTTAAGTTGTGGTTCTTCGCGTCTCTCAAATGTACGTATGTAGAAGTCGTGCTACAAACAAGCATGTGACGGTGTGAAATGGTTGGTCTTGCTAAATGCTAGCGAGTTGTTTTAACCATGATGGTTGATCTTTGTCGTTAAATAAAATCAGTTTTTGCCGTTAAAGTTTGTTTGGAACGCACGCATTTAAAAATAAATTTCAAATTTTAATTTAAAAGTTTTGCCATTTTAAAAAAATTTTGCCATTTTTAATCAAAGAAAACAATTACAGTTCTTAAAAATTGTTCAATCAATGTTTACTACATTACATTTTTTGTTTATCAAGTTTGAAAATAATTTTTTAAAAGCACTCTATATAAAAATAATCGACCAGATTCAAGTTTGAGAAAGCAAATGAAGAGAATGGAGGGAAGCGGAATAGCAAGAGCGGTTCCAAGTCACCCAATGACGTGCCTCTGTCAGAATATTTTCGTCATGTTTCATTACATTTATTTGTCTTACACTATTGATTTATTTTCCGTTCATTGTTCATTTATTCCATTAATTAATTAATTAATTTGTTCGTTCGTTCGTTCGTTCATTCACAACAAATTTTATTTTCAAAGACTGCTTCGTTTAAATTTTAACAAATCTTTTTTTAGTTAACTAACTAAGTAAATAATTAAATTTATTTTTAAATCAATGCAGAACTTACGATGAAGAAGATAAAAGAAAATCCAGAAGTTCTCCGTTAGAATTTTTTTTAAATTTTCAGTTACACGATCAACTTTTATCTAACGATTTTTTTCAATTTTTTGATAGAAAACAAACAGACAAAAAAGTCGTTAAACCGTCAAAAAATGATAAAAAGGAGAAAAAAGCAGAAAAAAAGGAGCAAAAACAAGATGGCAGAAAGGGTAGCAAAGACAAAAAAACAAAAAAAAAAGCGGAAAATAAAAAGAAACCACCAAAGAAAAAATAATTAATTATGTATTCCAATCACCAAAGGACTCTTTGTAACCACCTAACGTCATGTCTCGTTGAGTGTTATTTAGGGTAAACCCAATTTGTACAGTCCTCTCCATCTTTGCCAAATTATAATCTCACATACTAGCACTTTAAAACTTCAACTATTCAGAGATAGAGCATGTTTCATTAAAAAAAGTAAATTCGGCACATTTATCGGGCGATTCTATTCGATTAGACTTCAAATTGATTTGGAACATTTAGAATACAACGTTTAATGTTCAATATTGCAATTAATTTTGTTTCATTTATATTTCATTCATTCATTCATTTGTTTGTTCATTTATTTATTTATTAATTTTTTTTAATTATTGAAATCACTTATTTAAAGTTAAATAAGAAAAATATCACTTCAATTCTTAAACTTTGAAGTTATTCTATGCGTACAGCAGAATAAAATGTTGTCATTATTGTAATTATATATATATAATATATACATATATATAAATATATATATATATATATATATATATCTGTATCAAAGGATTTGTGGAGCTCCCCTGTTGAATAACTCTAGAGGCAATAGCTTCACTCGAGAATGTCAAAACAAATGATGTTTCAAACGTATCTTGAAAAAATGTCGGCTTATGTTGTTGAATTTTTTCAAATCTACAGTTAGTAAAATCCAGATTTTTGCAGATGAAACAGAAAATCTTCTCTTTCCAAAACGAGACAAATTGAGTTTAGGAAGCACAGGATCACCATTATTTAAGGATCTCAGTCGATTCCGAATTGCAATTTTTAAAACTAGTTGTAGTTGTTTTTTCAAATATGTTGGAGTGCCACCAACAGTGCGGAGCCAGTGTAGATGATATATATATATATATATATATATATATATATATATATGTATATATATTTATATATTATATATACATATATATATTAGGGATGCACCGAAGTTCGGCCCCGGCCAATATCCGGCTTTTTTTTCAAGCCGGATATTGGCCGGATTTAAGCGTTTATCGACATTTAAAAATGTTATAAATAGAAAAAAAAATTTCATTGAATTCAATTAGTTTTATGTCAATAAGTTAAAAGCTAAGCATACATGACACATAATAACAACATCACAAATTGTGAAATGAGCTGGACAATTTTCTTAGTGCTATAACATGGGTTATGCATAAATTATAAGCTGATCTTTGTGTAAAAGAACTTGTGCACGTGTTTATACTATATAGTTGTATATGACGGATCATAAAGCTACATAATATATATATATATATATATATATATATATATATATATATATATATATATATATATATATATATATATACATAATCGCATTATTTAAGAACATGGTATGTTAAAGGTTAGGCTAGGCATACATGACACATAATAACAACATCACTAATTGTGAGGTGAGTTGGACAATTTTCTTTGTGCTATAACATGGATTATGCATACATTATAAGTTGATCTTTGTGTAAAAAAATTTGTGCACGTGCATACATGACACATAATATTAACATCACTAATTGGGAGATGAACTGGACAATTTTCTTTATGCTATAACATGGGTTATGCATAAATTAAGCTGATCTTTGTGTACAGAATTTGGCGTATCACACAGCTTATTCATATATTTGAATTAATCAACTATTTGCTTGGTGTTATTTTTTGATGTTAAACATGTAGATAACCGTAAATGTGAGTATTTTTTCTAACGTATGTAGAATGGTAACTAAAATTCGGTCTCGGCTCCGGCCGGTTTTTGAATTTTAAATCCGGCCAAGTCCGGCCCCGGCCGGATTTGAAAAACCTGAATCCGGTGCATCCCTAATATATATATATATATATATATATATATATATATATATATATATATATATATATATATATATATATATATATATATATGCTACATGTTCTCTCAGGGGTTTATGCTGAGATGGATGCTCAAAACATTTCCTTGTTGGCATTTTTGGACATGAGCTCGGCTTTCGACTGTGTCAATCATGAAATGTTACTGCTCAGGCTGCATCAAAGTTTTGGAATATTTGGGGAAATAATAAATTGACTCAGAAGCTACTTGATTGGCCAAACACAGCAGGGTTCGTTCAACGGGAGTTTGTCCTACGTCAGTGTGGTTCGCTCTGGCGTGCCGCAGGGATCTGTTTTGGGTCCTTTATTGTTTCTGCTTTATACATCTGATGTGCTGAAGATAATTGATTCCTATGATTTTAAAAGCCATGCATATACAGACGACATTCAAATTATGTTATCAAGTTAACCGAAGTTATTTCAAGACGAGATTACGAGATTCATTGAATGTATGGCGGAGGTTAATCTGTGTATGTCGAGAAATGAATTGAAGCTTAACCAGGATAAAACAAAATTTCTTCCTATCGGTACCTGGCAGCAGTTGGCAGACTTGGATATAAACTCAGTGGTTATGAATGATAAAAAAATAGATTTCTGTAAAGCCGTGTTGAGCCTAGGTTTTATAATTGATTCAAACCTAACAATGAAATCTCATTTTAAAAGGATCTCTACTTCATGCTTGGCACGCACAGATTAGAATGAAACAAATTCGAGAATCACTTGATAAAGACGCAATGCAGAAGACTCTGGCGCACGCGTTGGTGCACTCACGTGTCGATTATTGCAATAGTTTATTTTATGGACTCCCGGCTAGATCCATCAAAATTCTGCTATCGATACAAAACCGTACTGCCTGGATTGTGGCTGGATGTCGATGGTATGATCATGCCACACCGATCCTGAGTGATTTGCATTGGTTGCCCATAAATAAAAGAATTGTTTTTAAAATCTCTGTCAAAGTTTTTAAATTACTAAATGGTCTGGCTCCAAAATATTTATCAGATAAACTGAAATTAAAAACGTCGATCGCATCTGGTGTGCGCCTGAGGTCTGACGATTCGAACATTCTTGTGGTTCCTCATAGACAGCTATTGGATTGCGTGATTTTGCTGTGTCAGGCCTTGTCGTATGGAACGGCCTGGAATGAACATTGCTGAATTTAAAAGACAATTAAAAACACATTTTTTAATTCTAGTTCATTCCTTTTCATTCTTGCTATTTTGTTATTAATATTAGTTATAATTTGATAGCGTTTGTGAAAACTGCTATAACGAACGCTATATTAAATTTTCTCTTATTAATAAATAATATATATATATATATATATATATATATATATATTAATATATATATAAAGAGAGAAAAAAAGAAAGAGAGAAAGAGAGAGAGAGAGAGGGAGAGAGAGACTAGGAGAGAAATGTTGGTGTTATCACATTTTTCATTTTCAATAGGTTGCACAGGATGCAGTGTGGATAAATTAATGTTTCTATAGTCATGTGCGTCATTACATTCAAAACAAAAACAAATTTGAGTGTAAACGTTTGAAAATTTTTCATATAAACAACAGGATTGTTCTAGTTTAACAAAACAAAAAATATTTATTTAGATAAAGTTTTCGTGTCAAGAATTAAAATACTCCTGTAGTCAAAAATAACTTTAAAATAATTTATAAAAAAAACTACATCGATCGACAATATTGAACTTATTTTTTTGGTTTCAACAAAACATTCAAAATTCTAGGCAAATGTTATGACAAAATGCAGTCTGGAGTTTGGGGTCCATGGTTAAACCAGCCGTTTAAAACTTATTATCCATCTTGTTACAAGAGTGCCCCACATAATTCCAGCCTCAGCTGTGTCCCTAACAATTTTCATCCACCAAATACTCATGGAAATTGTGGTTTATGTGGTCAATATGGTTACGGTAGAATGAAATGTTGTCCTAATTTATTTTACTCATGCCAACCCTTCTGCACCGAATGTTGTGGCTCAAATTTCCCCAGTGACCCCATGTGCTCCAGATCGATTCCTTCAGGAAATTCTCCTAACTGTAAAAGCACTTCCGAAAATTTTCACATGAGTTTAAAAAATCTCAAAAATTTTGTTATTGGTAAATGTTTCCTATATTCCTGTGCAAACGACAATTCTAAAAAACATGGGTTGATCATACCAGCGCCTCCATATAAACCTGACAGGAATTGTTGCAACTACTCCTCCACATTCAACGCTGCCGACAACGAACTTTGTAAATTAGAACGAAACATTCAAAATAAGATTCTGAATTTTTCGCCTCTCAACGAAAACTATAACGTTGAGGATCCAGTAACTGACGCCGGCTTTCAACCTAACTCCGAGTAAAATAATTAATTTCACAAATTTGATTTATGAAATTAAAAAAATTCAAATTTAAATTTCGGTATGAAGTAACAGTTCAAAAATATTAACTAAACTAAATTTCCCAAAACAGAGGTGGAGATGGTGGCCGAAGATCACCGCCAAGGTAATGACAATAGCGAATAGATAAATTAGTTGAATATGAACAATGAACATAGTGTCAACATTTTCAATTTAAATTGTGTTTTGTTTGGTGAGCAGCAAATCGGAAGAACCAAAAGAAGAAAAAGGCAAGAAAGGAAAAAAAGGAAAAAAAGGAAAAAAAGGGGAAAAAGGTGATGGCAATGAAAAGGGTAAAGGAAAAAAAAGAAATGGCAAGAAAAAAGAAAAAAAAGGAAAAGAAAACCAAAAATCTATGTAAAGTTAATTTTTCAATTCTTCAGTATTTTGAAGACTTTAATAAATTATTTTCCCCATCGTACAGAATTACAGACGAAGAACTGGAAAGACAATATAAGCGGTATATATATATATATATATATATATATATATATATATATATATATATATGTGTGTGTGTGTGTGTGTGTGTGTGTGTGTGTGTGTGCGTGCGTGTCTGTGTGTGCGTATCTGTGTACGGAGTGTTTGTGTGTGCAATTGTGTAGAATAAATAAATAATGTAAAACTTTCTGAAAATTCCAAGCCACCCGACAAAATATTTCTGGCCATGTCACTGTTACCAATGCTAAACTCTAGTAGATAGAAATTTAAGATTCATCATTGTATTGAAATTAAATGAAAATCACATAAAAATAATCTAGAAGAAAATCCATCACGGTAGTTAACTATATGATCTGAGCTTACATATGTATGAACAAATATATTTATAATATATTAATGGTACAATCTCTGCCACCTTTTGAGCAACATTACAATCCGTGTTGACAATATTACAATCCGAGTTGACAACATTACAATTTGTGTTGGCAAAATTACGATCCGGGTTGACAACATTACGATCCGGGTTGACAACATTACAATCCGAGTTAGCAACATTACGATCCGGGTTGACAACATTACAACCCGTGTTGGCAACATTACGATCCGGGTTGACAACATTACGATCCGGGTTGACAACATATACATATATATATATATATATATATATATGTGTGTGTGTGTGTGTGTGTGTGTGTGTGTGTGTGTGTGTATGAGCGTGTCTGTGTGTGCGTAAATTTTTAATACAACACTTTTCTTAACTAATAGCCAATGCAATTCACGCAAAATTGAAGTAACATGTTCAAACTTTGATGCACCCATTGCAAAGTTTGCAGCCCGAGTCTTTATTGACTGTAGCTGACTAGCCACTTTATTTGCAGTGCCTCAGAACAAAACTGCAATAATCCAACTTTGAATGTACTAGACTTTGTAAGATGTCCTTATTTAATGATTTCCGGATAAATTTCAGTCCATGCATTTGATGATGCTAGTGATCTAATGTGGTCTTGCATCAGTAAATTAGTGTCTTTGTCGATTTTACTACTATCTTCTTTACTAATGATAATTGAGATGCTTTTTGTGTTCGGGCGCTAATTATTCTGGTGTTATGTTTATATATATATATATATTTATATATATGTGTATGTGTTGTGTGTGTGTGTGTATGTGTGTAAATAAATAAACATTTATTTGATATTTGCCAGGGAAGCAAAAGAGGAAAAGAAAAAATTGAAATTAGAATATCGCAAGTAAGGAAATTTCATATTTAGTAAACTTTGCAAGAAAAATTGGTAAAGAAAGTTCTACAAAACAAAAAAAAATTGGGGAAAATAAATTTGCTTGCATACAAAAATTTTAATTTAGGCAACATGAAGACTGAAGCAATCAAGGCCACGAACATGTCGTTTCATTCATTTTGAAGTTTGGTGAATGTCTGGAAGAAGTTTAATGACGACGATAAAGATGTTCTTTCGGTGTTTTGACAGATTTTGCTTTTTTTTTGTTTTAACCGATGAAAAGATTATGAAATTGAAAATGTTTCATAATTCATATTGTCAATATATTTAAATTTTTGGATAGTTATCAGCGTCATGTGAATAAAAAGTAACATTTGATTTAGAACTACATTGCAACTTAAGTTAGTAAAAAATTTTGCAAAAATTCTCTTAATAAAAAAATGTATTCAAAAAATATCAGAATATTTAAAAATTCTGTGTTTATAGTTTTTAATTTAGCTATTGTAAAAATGAAACCATTTTACAAATGAAGGATATGACGGTTTTACAACTTTCATCAATATTGTAAACAATCCATAACAATCCATGCAATATTTCCTTATTTGAATAATTAACAGTTGTAACATGTTTCATCATAGGTAACCAAACGGCAACCCCCGATCTCGGGGAAAATGTCGTCTAAACGTGTGTTGTTTGTATGACTACTGATTGAATTTAAAAAAATTAAAAAAAAATTATTTTCTCAACAAAATTTAACCTCATGTTGTTGACATACCTTGTGACATCATCACAAATAAAAATAAAATAAACAGTAAAAACAACAAACCCACTATTCTATAAAACAAAAAGTTAAATAGGAAGACCAAAAACCAAAACAAAACTCAATCGCGTCTAGTCAGGTTAGTGTTGGTCGGTCATTTAATTTGGAACGCATTCGTAAACTGAGTGTGCATTTCCTTTATTTAAACTTGTCAAATTTTATCGGCCATCAAATCGTTGACAGAGCAGAGACATAAAAAGGAGAGAGCAATCTCAGACAGTTGCTCGTGGTGCCATTTTAGAAAGCAGTTTCACGTAAAAAATGATAATTCAAAACTTTATTTAGCTAGGGGCTATGCACAAACAATAAAAAATTAGGAAAATGTGGACTGGTCCTCACTCTTTTTATTTATTAAGCCGGCTTATAATAAATGACAGTTGTTTATTAAAATTAAAACTGAAGTTATAATAAAATTTTATTTTTGGAAAAATGAGTAGAGTATCATAAAAATAAATAAGTGGGTTTTCTGTGGAAAGGTGCCAAAATGTCTAAACTTCAATTAAGGCGCGGATTATAGTCCTCAAGTCACTGTCAATTACACACATTAAATATTAAAAACTTTTCAATTCACTTGTTATCTTATAAACCATTGCTTAAGTTAGTTTAGTTTGTTTAACTTTGTTAAATATCGTTTAAGTCATTGTCGAGTGTATAATTATGACAACGCTGCCACGGAGGGCATGACCCCTGGTCAGCTTGTCTCATCACGTTCCCACACATTAACCAACCTGCTCGTGCATGTAGTTGGCAAATTCCAGGCGGAAAAGGTTACTCTGAATAATTCTGATCAATAATATTCAATTATTATTTAATGATAGTAAAACTTAATTTGTTATGTCCGTAAATTTTCTCATGTCGTCGATTGATATATTCGTGAAGTTTAATAACATTTATTATTAATTTGTATCCATTGAACGGCTACCTCACCAGAAAAATGATGAATAGTTGTGGAGTGAATTTGTCTAACTCCCTCAATGGTTTCCCATCATTAACCTGCTGTTCACCTTTTACAATTTTTGGAGGCGATAGCTGTGGTTCTTGCGGAGGCTGTGGATCTTGTGGTGGTTTTGTACCTTGCGGCGCTTTTGGTGGTTGTGTTCCCTGTAGCGGTTGTGGTCCTTGTGATGGTTGCGTTCCCTGCATTCCCTGTGGTGGCTGTAGACCTAGTAATGGGTGTGAACCTTTTGGCGGTTTTAGTTCTAGCGATGGTAATAAACTTTGTGGTCTTTGCTGCGTACCTTGTGGCGGTTGTGGTTCGTGTAATGATTGTGATCCTAGCTGTGGTTCATGTGGTGGCTGTAAACCTTGTGGTGGTGGTAGTTGTGAACCTTGTGGTGGTGTTGGTGGTTGTGAACCTAGTGGTGGTGGTTGTTGTGAACCTTGTGGTGGTGGTGGTGGTAGTTGTGAACCTTGTGGTGGTGGTAGTTGTGAACCTTGTGGTCCTTGTGGAGGCTGTGATCCTAGCTCCACCAAACGTTTTTATATAACGATTCTTCAGTTCGTGCCACCAAAAGATGTTTGCATATCTCCGTGTTTGAACTACAACGAGGAACGTTTGCCTCTCAAGAAACGTTACGTGAGGAAGCGCTGCTGCTGCAATTTGGACTACATCCCTCAGAGTCTTCCTTTCAGTCCGAAGTTCTTCTGCAAGTTCAGTTTGTTCAAGTGTCTCATTCATTGAAACTAATTAATTTGTCGTGTTGGATCATTTTTTCTTACTAACCAAAATTATTTTAAAACTGTATCTTTATTTGATGATATCTTTATAATGATAAATTTCACCCGCCAACAGAGAGACAGATGAAGATGAAAAAAAGTTTATACGTTGTTCCAATGATAATTGTTTTTGGAGTTTTTATTTTCTACGGTCGATTTTTAAAGCTATCATTAATTGACAGAATTTATCAAAAATATAATGGAATGAAGATGTAAATTGTAACAGAGCATGAAATATTTTCAGAGATAGAAAAAATAGGAGTAAAGCTGACAAGGGCGAAAAAGAGTAAGAAATTTTTTTTCACTGCTAAACTCCCAAATGAACTAGACAAACTTAACTGAAAAGGATTGAACAATCGTCTATAAAAACTTTCCACGAATGCTCCAATGAACTGTGCTACACTGACCTGGTTTAAATGCAAATTATTTCCAAACTATCAGACACAAAAGTGTATGCTGCAACGGGTTTATCTACATGACACACGCCTACACGTTTTATTTAAACTTTGACCTTTGAAGGTGACATCTAGTAGCAAACCTTCCACAAAGTTATGAAATTCTCATTCCTAATAGTGTACCCCCCAAACCGTTAACTCACTTTTAACATTTCACAAATGCACTTCATCCACAGAAATACAACTTAGTTTTTAATTAGATAGCAAACATTTTAAGGAATGTGTTTCAACTGTTTAACAAAATATTGTAATTTAAGTTATTGTAAAAAGAACCTTTCAAATTTAAATTAATTTTTCATCCATTCACATTCTTAACTGCAGAGAGGCCAAAAATAAAGACAGCGGCGATGAAGGCGAAAAAGGCGGGAAAGACGAAAAAGGCGGGAAAAACGAAAAAGGCGGGAAAGACGAAAAAGGCGGGAAAGACGAAAAAGGTGAAAAAGGCGAAAAAGGTGAAAAAGGCGAAAAGAGCGGGAAAGGCAAAAAGGACGGGAAAGGTGGTGGGAAGAAGAGCGGGAAAAGTGGAAAAGGCGGCAAGAAAGGGAAAAAGTAAAAAGGAAACAAATTTCATCGGAAAAACTAAAAATTTTCTACCGTTTGTCGATTTTTATTTATTTTCTGCCTTGTCGATATGTTTCTTTTTACTCAATGTTACGAATATTCATTCAACATTCTATTTCATGTTAATTAATGCTCGTAAATTTGTTAAATATATTGACAAATCATTTATTAGTTGATTATTTTATTAAAGTTAACCATTAAATTCAATCAGACCTAGTAAGACTGTAGCCAAAAGTTCATTTTTAATCGATAACCATAACAGCGTTGGTTGCGAACTTGAGACAATGCATCCAACCAGATCATCAAATCTTCCCAAAATTTTATAATAATGAATAATGAGCTTCAATTAAAAGTCAATGCCCTATTTCAGAAATCCTACACCAATATACAACAGAAATAACTAAAGCATCAAATAAAAACAATATCCAAATATAAAATCTTCATTGGCCATAAATCTATGAAGCTCAAAATTCAACACCATCTGCAACGTCAACAACGTCAGCGATATTTTATTTTTAAATTCCCTGACCAACTATTCTTAAAATTGCACTCGCCACTGCCAAGTTTATTTAAATCAATCTTTAGAATTTGCGTGCTTTTAAGATAAATAACTTATCTTCTTATTATTTTCAAATTATTTTACTTTCATGCTGTGAAGCAACTTCTATCACTCGATCAGTTTTTGAGGCCATATAACGACTCTATATTGAAGTTTGTTATGCAGTAATTTATTTAGCTTTCTTTTTTCCTCTCTCATTCACTTACTTTTTCTATATTTCTATACATGTGTGTGTGTGTGTGTGTGTGTGTGTGTGTGTGTGTACATGTATAACACAATGCATGACCTAGGCTGCGATAATCTAATTACGATGACCTTATGGTTCCAAAATTCAAATTTTTACATTTTAGGTAAAGAATATGTTCTATCCCAGCTGCCCAAACATGGAAGGCGTTGCCAGCTGGTCTCAAAAAGTTCAACACCGTATGTGTAAGTGACTTCAACAGACGTTTAAGAATCATTTATTCAAACTGCAGCAGCGAAAGAAGTGACGAGAGTGAGTCTGAAGTCAATTCATGAATGAGAGGCGCTGAACAAGTTCTGCGATACAATACGATACGATATGATACAATATGATACAATACGATACGATACAATATATATAACTTAGTATACGTTTACTTAAATACAGATAATTTGAAAAAGTTGTGTAATTTTATCATACAAAATTAATCTATAATTAATCCACAGCGATATTTAAATCTGCTTACATGCATAAACAAACATTTAGTTTCTTTGGTAATTTTATTCTCACACAAACGTCATCCGAGCATATTTTCAAAGTATGTTTGTAAAAATGTGGGGAGGAAATACGACGTGATATTTGAAATGAAACCGCTATGTTCGCTACTATCTGGTGAGTTATGGTCTCGATACGTCTGAATTAGGTGATGGAGTGTGAATATTCGAAGGAGGTTCGTAAAAATTGTCGTTAAATTGATCTGTCGATAATTGACTAATTAACTAACTAACTAAATAATTTATAAATTTATTTATTTAATTAATTTTTTAATTGTTTTTTATTGTTTTTGCATTCTAAAATGAAATTATTAATTTTAAGTTGTTCATTTTGAGTTGTTTATTTTTCATCATAAAATTGTTTCTAGATGTATGAACGGAGTCCGATAAAAAGCATCAATCTGATCTGTTTTGAGAAAGTGAAATAACAAGCAGCCAGCTTGAAAGTTGAGAATGATTAACGGAGGACAGTGAATAAGTGTGAGTTCAAGCCCAATCTATAGATCAATGACCAAAATTTAACCAAACGAAAAAATTCAACCAATTAAACATTAGCGACAAATTCTACTAATCTACAAAAATATTTAGACTTCTATAAAGGATCAACCAAGCAAGAACTTCAGAACACGAACATCAATCACACGAGTCAGATATCAAATAAAAGCTAGCAAAAGAACAAGGCCAAGATGTCTTGCGGAGAGTGGGTGTGCTGTCCGTCGTGTGGCGGGTGTGGTTGCTGCAACTGCCAGAACACCGGCTACGTCCTCATGCCGAAGAACAACTACGGCCCTCCTCCAATGACTTGCTGCTGTAGTGGCGGCTGCTGTAGGATGCTGAACAACATGGGCAACATGAAACAGCAGTGCTCCAGCGAAGGTGTCGACGACGAACGAGCGGGTAAAGATAAGAGCAGTAAAGATAAAAGTGGAAAAGACAAAGATGACAAAGAGGATAAGAAAAAGGGTGGGAAGGATGCCAACAAAAGAGAGTCTCTAAGTCAAAGATTGACGGCCGGGGGTGGCGGGAAAGGAGAAAAGGGAGGAAAAGGAAGAAAGAATTCTAAAGATTAACTTTGGTTTTACGTTTTTTTTTTATATGAAGTATGTTGTGTTAAAGTATGCCAGTTAACATCAAGTTTTTTATCACCAAGGATTTTTTTTATTCTTACAATTTACAAATAAAAAGAGCAAATTAAAAAGTTTTGCCTAAATTGAACATGGAAAATAAAAATTGTAAGAAAAAAATGAGGTCCCCAACATTTACTTTCATATAACTAAGTTGACTTTGCAATAAAAAATAATTCGTAATTTTAAAATTTTTTTTTGGAAAAATTTTAGAAAAGATAGAAATTGACAGAAAATAAGAATTGAGTAAGAAAAGTAATAAATTATTACTTGATTCTCAGATGTTTATTGCTATTTATGCAGTTGTACAATCTTTTTTGAGAGAATAGACCCTAGATATAGGCAGATAAGAGGGTGCTTTTAAAATAGCTCAACTGCAACTTGCAATGTAAATGTAACAATGTCAAAAAACAAGTGTGCACACAAAGGGCAAAGTCCAAATTCCCAAAGATAATTTATAAAGTGAATAATTATTATGATAACGACAACAGAGTATATATTGGCGCGAAAACCTAATAAAATTTAAATTAAACTTGAAAAATAAAAATTGTAAGAGAAAAATAAAAAAGTTTAAAACAATTAAATGAGAGCTTTGAAACTCATAAAATGACGTAAAAAAATAAAATTTCAGCTTGACGGAAACTTAACATGAATAAAAAACGAAAAATTATGATGTCACGATGTTACAAAAATGCTTGTTACGAAAGAGTTAAATGTTTTGCAAACCTACATAGTTAACAACTGTGAGAAACAAACTTGTAAAACTGACAAGATCAAACGGTTGAAACATCAAGTAAAGATAATAAATTAAATTAAATTAACTAAGTCTCTACGGTCTATGCCACACACACACATACACACACACACACCACACACACACACATCACGATATTAAAAACAAAAACTTTGAACCACAGCAACATGAGACAATGTGACATTGGTTCAGCTCACAGCCTCTATTATTTAGTCACACCTCGTCATAAAAATAAAATCATGTTTGTTGCTTGCGTGTGTTCATTCATTGATCACATGAGTATGTGTGTGTGCAGTTATTTATTTAAAAACTTAAGAATGTGAGATAGACGTTCATTCGCTCTTTAATCAGTTGACTCAATTAAATGGTATTATTAACAAGCTTATAAACCGCTTTATGATTAAAATTGAGTGTACGTGTATACTTTGTATGTATGAAATAGATATATTAATTGCTTCTAAAAAATTAACAAAAAAAGTTAACATAACGAATCTCACAGAAGTATTTTAACAATTTGTTAATGAAATTTTAAGATACGTGTCAGTATTTATCTATCTAATTGTATGCAGCGTAACAATCACCTACTTTATAAACTATTACACACACAACACACACACACACTCACACAAACACACACACAAACACCAAAATGCATACATACAAACATCATAGATACATACATACATACATATATACAAACATACATACATACATACATACATATACATACATATACATACATACATACATACATAAAATATCCAACTGAATGCCGACATGTGCAATTAACGACAAATCAAAGTGTTAATCCATTTGTTACTTGATGTTTGACGGTTCAGTGTCACTCATCATGTTTTGGTTTTAACATAGATTAAAGCTGAACCCGGATATGATTATTACTTCCTTATAGTTCTAATCAACTATGGGTTCATACATACATATATACATTGTTATATGTCTTGTCCAAATTATTTGCCTCCATCGACAAACAGAATATTGCTCTACTCGCATTTTTGGACATGAGTGCAGCGTTTGACTGTGTCGATCATCAAATTCTATTGAACAGATTAATTCACGACTTTGGCTTTGCTGGAACTGTTATCAAGTGGTTCGACTCCTATTTGACTGGAAGGACTCAACAGGTATTTTTCAAAGGGAATCTGTCTAGTGTAAAAACAAAGTCATCCGGAGTGCCACAAGGTTCAATACTTAGACCTATTTTGTTCATACTGTATACAGCTGATGTATTTAATGTAATTGATACTTTTGGTTTTTCTTATCATGCATATGCCGACGACATTCAAATAATAGTCAGCAGTGAACCAGATCAGTTCGAAAGTGCAGTTGAAAGACTAATAAAATGTTTGGCTGAAGTTGACACATGGATGTCAAAAAATTGTCTAAAACTTAATCAAAATAAATCACAGTTTTTACCAGCTGGCACCTGGCAGCAGCTATCAAAAATAAAAATTTATTCAATAATGATTGAAGATAATGAGATAAAATTTTGCAAGAAGGCTACCAATTTGGGATGTATTTTTGACACTAAATTAAAACTGTGACCACATAAAATCGCAATCTAAATCATGTTCAGCACAACTTCAACAAATATACCGAATAAAAAAATATCTGGATCAAACTGTAACACAATCATTGGTTCATGCGTTTGTCCACTCGAGATTGGATTATTGCAACAGTCTGTTTTATGGGTTGCCAGAAAGGTCTATCGCTGACCTCCAGTCTATTTAGAACAGAGCTGCAAAGGTGATTGTTAGAGGCAGAAAATACGATCATGTGACGCCAATTCTGAATAGCCTCCATTGGCTAACAGTGAAGAAACGAATTTTTTACAAAATATGCGTCATTATGTACGAGGCCATAAACGGACAACTCCCAGAATACCTGGCTGATAGATTCATAAAGAAGCCGCTGTCTTCGACTGGCAGACGCATGCGATCAGATGACGTCAATTTGTTGATTGTACCAACTACGCAGCTGCAGACATCGTCTAGAGACATTGCAGTGTCGGGACCAATCGTCTGGAATAGTCTGCCAATGTCGATGAGAATGTCAAAGATGAACATTGTTGATTTCAAGATGAATTTGAAAACTTATCTTTTTGCGATGAACGATTGTAATTGATTGTATCATATCGTCTATTGATAGGATGTACGTTATTTCACTGTTCGTTTATTATTTTTCTTTTTTCGATAGTGCTTGTGAGAGATATTTATTTTAATAGGCGCTTTATAAGTGTTTGATAATAATAATAATAATAATACATACATACATACATACATACATACATACATACATACATACATACATACATACATACATACATACATACATACATTCATACATACATACATACATACATACATACATACATACATACATACATACATACATACATACATACATACATACATACATACATACATACATACATAGAGACATATGTAAATACATACATCAGGGTGAAACTCAAAACAACTTTTGATCGACTAAGTTAAACAAATTCAAATATGTTTTAGAACGGGTAGCAATTATTCCAAATGCATTGACGCCTTTGTTACAAGCAGCGTTAAACGTCTTTTTTGAAAACGTCTCCAGGCCCGGAGGTCTCAATTTCGGAAAAATTTGATAGAACGCTACAAAAGGGTTTCGAAAACATATTAAACATTTCCTTGGATGACAAAGGTTGGCTGCAAACAATTTTGCTCCTGTCCGCAGGCGGTCTAGATTTAGGATCCGTAGCTGAGCTGGCACCTTCTGCCTTTTTGGCTTCAGCCGCTGCCACTGTTTCCATACAAGATATGCTGTTGCCAACCGACAAAGCGTATGTTGATGACGTCAGAACGAAGGTATACGTGGGGTGGGGGGCTGCTTTTGGAAGAGACGTTGACATAAACATCGTGCTGCAAAAAGAATGGCACGTATCATCAGTGAATCGCTTGATTGATCGAATATCTTTGCTCACTAACTTGATATGTGATGAAGCCAGGATCACGGCAGTTTTGATTGAATGGATGGTTGAGAGCGGTCCCGAGCAACGCCTGTGGTACCAGAATGGATGATGCTGGCGTTCTTGTTAGTTTGGGATCGAGATTGGGGTTGTCTGTGGTCACGGAGGATAATTGCAAGTGTGGTGCAAAAGTGAAACCGCTGGGTTTCCATGAAATGACTTGCAGATTAGGATCAAGAAGGCAAGCCCGACACTCTCCAATGAATGATTTTTTAGTCAGAGTTTTTTAAAAAGCCGCCATTCCGGTAATAAAGGAGCCAGTTGGGCTGCTTGAAAATGGCAACTACCGGCCTGACGGATACACAATGGCCGAAAAATATACGATAGCTAAGAATGAAGGCACCGCTACTTTGCACCGAGGGTATATCCAAATAAGAAATTTCTTTGCAAGGTCAGTTTCTTTGTGATCTTAAGATCCTTAGAACCCTAGTGTTTTTGTTAAGATCACATAAGACCTTGTGATCATAAGATCACATTAGTGGTGAAATTTAAGGGTGATAAAATACTATAAAGATGAATTGCTATAATGATGAAATGTTCAACGGTGAATTGCTATAATGATGATATGTTGCAATGGTGAAATGACTGGTATGATGAGGTGTCTCGTCACCATATGTATTATCATTATTATTAATAAAGACAATATATATATAGCGCCCATTCAATGTTCTCACTGGCACTCTCAAAAAATAAAACTTAATTTTATAGGTGCAAAATCAAATTCAATGCAACTTCAACGAAAATAAAAATGTTTTTAAATCTTTTTTAAATGATTGAAGATGAAGCCCAGGTTTTCTCAGCGTATACATGTATATATACATGTATATATATATGTATATAAATGTCTGGTCACCATATGTATATATATATATATATATATAAATGTATCAAGGCCAAATCT